CATCCAACCTGACTTTGAATGCCTCCATGGATGGGGCACCACTGCTTTGGGCAACTGTGCTTGTTTTTCTTTGCCCTCAAAGCTGATTTGATCTGTTTGGTACGGGCAGGCTCTGCTGACCCCGGAGGATGCGGTGCTGTCGGATGAGCTGAACCACGCCTCCATCATCGATGGGATCCGCCTCTGTAAGGCCAACAAGTACCGCTACAAGCATATGGACATGCATGACTTGGAGGCCAAGCTGCAGGACGCACAGGTAACAGCACTGTGCTCCAATCCATGGTGCATCTGGGCAGCCCTGAAAGATCCACTCAACCCTTTCCCATCCCATAGAATCATAGGATCATCAAGATTGGAAAAGACCTCTAAGATCACCTACTTCGAATATCAGTCGATCCCCATCATGCCCACTAACCATGTCCTTCAGTGCCACATAGGCAGTGTTCTGGAGCACCTCCAGTGACAGTGACTGCACCACCTCCCTGGGCAGCCTGTGGCACTGCAGCACTGCTCCTTCTGAGAAGAAATTTTTGCTAATATCCAGCCTGAACCTCCCCTGGCGCAACTTGAGGCTGTTACCTCTCATCCTATTGCTGTTACTTGGGAGAAAAGGCCAACCCCCCACTTTTCTACAACCTCCTTTCATGTCATTGTAGAGAATGAGAGAGGCTCATACAGAATCATAGAATGTCCCGGGTTGGAAGGGACCTCAAGGATCATGAATCTCCAACCCCCTGCCACATGCAGGGCCACCAACCTCCCCATTTCATACCAGACCAGGCTGCCCAGAGCCCCATCCAATCTGGCCTTGAACACCTCCAGGGACGGGGCATCCACAGCCTCTCTGGGCAGCCTGTTCCAGCACCTCGCCACTCTCTCTGTAAAGAACTTCCCCCTGATATCCAAAATCTCCCCTCCCTCAACTTAAAGCCATTTCCCCTTGTCCTGCTGTTATCTACCCTTTCAAAGAGTTGATTCCCCTCCTGTTTGTAGGCTGCCTTTAGGTACTGAAAGGCTGCCATGAGGTCACCCTGCAGCCTTCTTTTCTCCAGGCTGAACAAGCCCAGCTCCCTCAGCCTGTATTCATAAGGAAGGTGCTCCAGTCCCCTGATCATCTTTGTGGCTCTCTTCTGGACCCTTTCCAACAACTCTGTATCTTTCTTGTACTGGGAGCTCCAGACCTGGACACAGTACTCCAGAAAGAACAGAGTAGAGTGGGACAATCACCTCCCTGTCCCTGCTGGCCACCCTCTCTGATGGAGTCCAGGATACCATTTGCTTTCTGAGCAGTCTCCAAAGTTGTAGAGTTGTAGCTGCGCCCTTTTTGGTTTTCAGGCAATGTGGGAAAGCAGCCAGCTTCTGCAACTGATATCTTGTTTGCAGCTGTATCTTAGTTCATTGTACCCACCCTGTACATACAGCAGGTGGGGCTAGGGCTGTATCTCAGCCTCCTTCACCGGTTCTAAAGTGATGTCCTTGTAGCATGTGGTTCTCTCCCACAGAAACACCGCCTACGCCTGGTAGCCACCGATGGTGCCTTCTCCATGGATGGTGACATCGCCCCCCTGCGGGAGATCTGCCAGCTGGCCCAGAAGTATGATGCCTTAGTCTTCATCGACGAGTGCCATGCCACGGGCTTCCTGGGTCCCAACGGCCGGTAAGGAGCTGCTTCACCCTTCACTGCTATTAGAGAACTCCCTTGGGTCTTGGGGGTTTTCTGTCATCACCTGGCACAGTTGTGAGTGTGCAATGTCTAGAGGGATTGAGAAGGGCTGTTGAGTGCTTCACACCTTGTGTTGTTCATGCTGTTGTCAAGAGAGCCAGTAGGGAGACGGAATGCCTGACCTGTCTTTTTGGGGTAGAGAATGCAAAGCAGGAGAGCATAGTGGACACATCCTGTTGGTTCCACCAGTATAGACTTTGATGTAGAGCTGTGTGCATGTAGGATAGTGTATTGGTGACGTGCAGAGCCAACCTCAAATAATGTTGGCTGCACTGTGTAGCTGTTTCTCCTGGTATATTCAAGATATGGCACATCAGAGGCAAGTCCTACATTCAAGAATCATTAGAGAGAGTGCACCACTGAGACTGTTCATAGAATCAGTAAGGTTGGAAATGATCACTAGGTTCATCAACTATCAGCCCATCCCCACCATGCCCACTGACCACGTCTCTCAGTGCCACATCCACATGATTCTGGAACACCTCCAGGGATGGTGACTCCACCAGCTCCCTGGGCAGCCTGTGCCACTGCAGCACCACTTTTTCAGAGGAGAAATTTTTCCTAAAATCCAGCCTGAACCTCCCCTAGCACAACCTGAGGCCATTGCCTCTCATCCTAAAAATTTGTGGGAACTTCGTGCACTCTTCCACCTGGAAGAGGCAATGAACCCCTTCCTGGGTCTTAGTCTCTCTGCAGGTGAGAGGAAAGGCAATGCTTGGACTGAAGGAGCACAGTGAAGTGTTTCTTCTTTACCAGAAGGGGGATGCCAGATACCTGGCTTCCCCTTGAGGAAAAAAGCAGCATCAGAGGTACATGCTGGTATGGTTGATGGTGTGACATTCCCTTTTCTGCAGGGGTACCGATGAGCTCCTAGGAGTGATGGACAAGGTCACCATTGTCAACTCTACCCTGGGAAAAGCTCTTGGAGGAGCTGCAGGTGAAGGCATTTCCATGTCTGAGGCCCTCCATGCCCTAAAGAGTTCCAGTGTATGCTCTCCTTTTCTTACTCATGCCATGAGGCTCAGTCTAGGACTCTGCCACGTGGCCAAGGGAGGTCGTGCTGAGTTGCTCTTGAGATCAAAGTGGACGCTCATGGTAAAAGACATCAGCTGTGTTTTTTTTTTTAGGTCTGATCTGTGATAAAATTTCTTCTGTAGGGAACAAGTTGCTCACTCTGAACAGGTCACCCTGGGACTACTGTGCCCATTTCCCTTTCCTCTCTCTGCAGGCGGGTACACAACAGGCCCCAAACCCCTCATCGATTTGCTCCGCCAGCGCTCCCGCCCCTACCTCTTCTCCAACAGCCTGCCCCCCGCCGTGGTGGGCTGTGCCTCCAAGGCCCTGGACTTGCTCATGGAGAGCAATGCCATTGCCCAATCCATGGCTGCCAAGACCCAACGGTGAGGTGCCACGCTTCTCACCTCCTCCTCGTGTGCCCGTGTGCGTGTCAGAGGGGAGATTTAGAATCACAGCCAGCCCTCAGTGGCCTGGGTTTTACTCATCCCTTCATTTCACTTACCAGGTTCAGGAACAAGATGACGGCAGCCGGCTTCACCATCTCAGGAAAGGACCACCCCATCTGCCCCGTCATGCTGGGGGATGCCCGGCTGGCTGCGGTGATGGCTGAGGACATGCTGAGCAGAGGTGAGTGAGGCAGGGAGCCATGCACGATGGCATGTAACACTGAAAGCAGAGAGCCAGAAGCCTTTCTGTCACCCGTTGTCACCTCAGTTTTCCTTCCTGGCCAGCTCCAGCTCTCCATGCTTTTCCTCTCCAGGCATTTACGTCATTGGCTTCAGCTACCCTGTGGTCCCCAAGGGCAAAGCCCGCATCCGTGTCCAAATCTCAGCTGTGCATAGTGATGAGGACATCGACCGCTGTGTGGAAGCCTTCATCGAGGTGGGACAGAAACATGGAGCATTGCCTTGAGGGGCTGCCAGACTCATCCCCTAATGCCCTTCTGCCCACCGAGACAAGTGCCTGTGCCTGGGAGGCCTGAGTGGCACGCTGCTCAACACAGGACCCTGAGGCCCTGCAGTCTGCGGGAGTCTCTCTGGCTGTTGCACTGTGCTGGCAGCATCACCGGTAGCATTAAAGACTTCCTGCAGTGCAGTGAGTAGTTGTATGGTTCTTGCATTCTCATCCAGGATTTGCTACCACTTTCTGTCCTCTTGTGCTGTTAGGTGTCTGCTATGTAGCTTCAGTCAGGGCACTGAAGTGTTCCTCTCCCCTTCTGCAGGTGGAAATGTGCTGCTGCTGAGCTGTTTCTCAGTGCCCATCCTGCAGGTTCCAAAATATGACCCCACAGTAATTCCCCACCAGGGCAGGAAAATTTCTCAGGGTTGTGCATCAGCCTTTGGCTACCCATGCCACCAGCAGCCAGTCTGTGAGAGAGCAAAGGCTTGCTTTCTTGGTGCTCTGGGCCAGCCATTATGCTCTGCCCACTGCCCTCACCACAGAATCATTTGAGTTGGGCCAGACCCTTAAAGGCCATCTGGTTCAACTCCCCTGCAATGAACAGGGACACTTACAGCTAGGTGACGGCACTCAGAGCCCCTCCAGCCTGACCATGGGGCTCTTACCCTGGGATCTGGTTCTCACATGCCACAGCCCAGCAGCTGGGCTTTAAATTTGAGGCCATAAACAGAGCAGGTGACAGAAACCTGTAATTCCTCTCCATTGTGCACGATTTTCACACAGCAGAGAACACACAGACAGCTGACAGCTCTGGATTTGTTCCTCCAAGCTGTGCAGGAGTGGCGGTGATTTAGTGCTCATGCAGGCACACGTGGCTCCTGGGCACCTCAGCATGGCTTCATTTGAATCAAGATGTGCGTCCTTCTATCGTCCCTATGCTGATCTGAGTGTGATGCAGGTGTGACCGTATCTGACTCAAACCAGAGCAATGACTGTATGGCTGAAGGAGGCTGGTATGGAGACCAGGGTCCATCTGCAGAACAAGCTGCATGCAAGCTAGGCTCCACGGCCACTCAAAAGTAGGAGACGAGCTCCTGTTTTTAAATGTGACAGCACTGAGAGCTCAATGGAATGTTTGCTTGGACTCTCTCACTGCATCAAGGCCAAGCTCTGCAGCAGGCTGCACAGCACCAGAAGCCGCAGCGCCAGGGAGGCACATGAGTCAGGCTGGAAATGAATAGCACAGCCATCACCGACTGCAGGAGGTGTGGTAGTGCTTTATTCCTAGGCAAACCCTCCAGCTTGTATTTCTTCAATGTGTAGGGCTGGTTTGTGGCTGTTAATGACTTTTGGACCAGAAAGCAGAAGACTTTTTTTTTTGCTCAGTGGGACGCAAAGGTAAGTGCTGCCTCTCCAGGCTGTTTCCTAGAACAGATGGATCCACCCCTGTCTTGAGCTGCCACCCTCTGCACTACTGATACGGGGTGGCTGTGGGTCCCTCATCACTCCTGTTGTACATCAAGATATCAGACCACCCCATCCCATTCTCAGATGCACATGGACACTTCCAGCCCTGGATTCACCTCCACCCACCCTCACTGTGCCACCACAGCCCAGTCCCAAGCCTGCCCCTCTTCCAGCCCCCCATGGTGACCACCCTGAGGTTCAACCCACCTCTCCCCGTGGCTTTGTTGCACCTCAGCTCTGCTCTCACAGGCATGTATGGTCACAGGCACGGGCTGATGGTTGGACTCGATGATCTCAGTGGTCTTTCCAATCTGAATGATTCTATGATTCTCAGACCTGCACCACCCCATCTCAAACCAAGCCCCACAGGGATCCACATGCAGCCAAATCCACCCCACATCCTTCTCCGCAATCAAACACCCATAAGAGGCCTGCTTGGCTTTCAGCCCTTTATTTCCCCATCCCCTCAGCGACAGGAGCACTTGCAGGCCACCACCACAGGATAGGGGATCTGCCGCCAGGCGCAGTGCAGGGAGCCGGGTGGCCGTGCAGCCCAGCAGTGCCAGGCCAGCAGCTTGAGGTGAGCGAGCTGGGCCGGGTGACAGGCCATGCCTGGGGGCCACGAGCAGGCGGGAGGGCCGGTCCTGCAGGCGGTATGCCGCACCCAGCGGGGCCAGAAGACGGGCCCCAGGTCCACCCATGTGGAGGTGAGACGGCACGAGGCTCTCTCCACCAGCCAGCGCCGCAGGGGCCGCGCCATGTCTGCGGGCAGCTCGGGGGGCAGCTCCAACCCCTCCGCCTCCTTCCACAGCTTGCGGCGGTGCCGCCCGCCGCCCTCCACCAGCTCCCGGCTCATGGTTTCCAGATCCTCCTTGGCGCTGAGGTTGCGGCCTAGCGGCTCTTCCGATGACATCCAGAAGGGGTTAAAGGCCGGGCCCAGCAGCCGGCGCAGTCGGCCGGGTCGCAGGTGGCGAGGCTTGGGAGCGTAGCGGTAGTCCTCGGGGGAGAGCGAGAGGCTGTAGGGTCGCACCGGGGCCGAGGGACGGCGGCGCAGCAGATGGGCAGTAGGGTCAGAGGTGCTGAACGGTGTTGGCAGTGGCGTCTGAGTGTCTTCCAGGGCGGTGGCACGCAGTGGCAGTGGCAGCAGGCAGAGGAATAGCAGGAGGCAGCAGCGGGGGCCCTGCATGGCGAGCGGTGCTGTGGGATGTGGCAATCGGCCACTTGCCTGGAGTTATCGACACGTCCCCAGCGTGGCCTTCCCCTTTTCCTTGGTTGTGGGTGACGATACCCGTCTGCCCGCCCGCCTGCCTGCACAGGGATGCTTTGCTCCTTGCTGATATCAGGCGGTGGCGGAGCCTCCCACCAGAGCGAGGTGTGAGATGGGGCAGCAGGACCCCACTTCTGCCTCTTTTTTCCCCCACATACCTCCATCTGTGCTGCCCCTGGGAGAACAGGCTGCCATGCAGGGGAGGAATCCAGTGCCTCCTCCTCCTCCTCTCCATCCTGCCTCATGGCTGTGTTTGATGATGCGTCCAGGACCTTCCCAGCAAAGGGAAGCTGACAGCTTTCGGGTCTTGCTGAGACCATCCCCAGCACAGCAACGTGTCCAAGCCCAGGAGGGTGGCTGGGCAGGCGTGGAAGGGCTGTTGTTTCTTGTGAGTGGCATGGTTGTTTCTTATCTGGACAACCAGAGCACGCACTGTCCCAGGTAGTGATAACAAAGCTGGGTGTCTGGAGGTGCCCTCACTGGACAGCCTGTCCTCCCTCTCCAGGGAGGGAAATGCCGGTGAGAGGTCAGATCTGCTCTAGACAGAGAACAAAGCTGCTTCAACCTCCATCCCCAGGTCTGAGATTAATCTGCCCTGTGCCACGGCACTTTTTGCCTTGCTGCTAGGAATTAATTAACAGCTAAAAATAGCAACTATTTGCTCATTCTCCACAGGACTTAGACCCATATCCCAAGGATGAGGTAGGGGTCTGACAGGCTGAGACATCCATGTTCCCTGGAAATGTAGGGAAACGCATCCCAGAACATAGAGGTGGCGGATCTGTGGGATCCTGCCCACTTCCATCCTCCCATTCTCACTGTTCCCCCTTGGTGGAAGCAGCTGAACCCACAGGAAGGCTGGGAAGAGAGGAGTTAACTCCAAACCCAACCTCAGGGAGAGGGGAAAAAAATAATACAGAGATCAATGGATCAGCAGCTAGAGCAGAGGGAGGGAAAAGGAGGGGAGAGGGAGAGAGAACGTGCAAGGAGCTGCAGAAGGAGAGAGCTGAGTGTGAGAGCGGAAAGAGGGAGCAGGGGGACAGGGATGCAGCAGAGTGTCAGGCATTGCTGACAGCACTGCTAGAAGAAACTGTCAGTGTCCCACATCCTGCTGATGAAGGTCTGCCTCCTCCTCACTGCTGCTGCCCAGGCTTTTCTGGAGGTCTACCCAGAGCAAGCGGAGAAGCTACAGGCTTTTCCTTGCAAAGGTGAGTGCCAGTTTTCCAAGCCTCGGGATGAGCCCAGAGCTGCCCCAGCCCACGTGCAAGGGGTATGCCCAGAGGAAGACTACAGTCTTCTGCTTGGGCAATAAGGTCCCACAGGACCAGGACAGAGGAGCTGGGAACAGAGGGGAGTGCAGAGCAGAGATGAGTTTTCAGTGCTGTATAGAATGTGCTAGGAAGAAGTGGTATGAACAGAAAGAGAGGGCAGTGTGGGGTGAAAGAGCTTGCATGACCCAGAAAGAGTTAATTGCATGTCAACTGTTGCTAGATAACCGTGCCTTTCCATCTTGACTGCTGCTCAATGAAGGACAATTTGTTCTAATGAAAGAACAATAAGCAGAAGGCTCGTTAGGAGATATGGTGTTTGTGTTCCTTGTCTGTGTGTGGTGGCACACAGTACTGGAAGAAGTTTAGCCACAAATCACAGCACCCTGCTCCTTGAGTTTTTTGGATATATCACTCCTTTGTTATGACTATTGTGCTGTATTTTGGGCAGCTCCGAGATCTGCCCCCCCCTTCTCTCATGTCACAGGGAGAGATGAAGAGCTGCACAAAGAACAGAGATCAACTGCAGAATGTGAGTACTGATAGTGACCAGGGACAAGATAGGACCCAACAGCCAAATTCCCCTTGCCTGCACCATCCATAGGGTTAACAAAACCCCAAACCCACAGACCAAACACATCCCACCTGCTTTTCTCAGAGATCCTTTGAACTCTGAATTGAAAACACATTAAATATGATAGAGTACAGTGCAGATTCTTTTCTCCACTTCCCACACTGCCAATTTAGCCACCACCATCCAGCCCATTACCTCCTATCAGCATCAGGATTACTGTCCTTAGTCACAGGTCCTCTGTGTAAAACAGCTGCTGCAAGAAGAAAGAGGAGCAGTCACTTGTGGGGTGGAGATGGCACGCTTGTGAGCATGGCATGGTGCTTCTGCTGTGGAGTTCCTTCTTCTGGAGGTGTCTCAGCCCCATGTTCAGGGTGGCCATCCCTCTCAATCCCTCCTTCCCTATGTTCTTGCAGCCCTGGATGAGCCCAGTGGAGCATCAGCTGGGATGAAGACTTGAGATCCCAGGGTTTAGCAGCATACTGTATGTAGGAGTAATGCAGGAGAGGCCAAGTGGTGGAGCAGGAGGTCTTCCAAGAGGGCTGGGAGGTCAGAAGACACTGTGGTGGGGATGTGAATCTGGACTGTCTCTCTCTCTATGCACAGGGTCCCACTGTCAGAGAGGGAGAGATGCCAGGGGGCTGGAATGCCTCCTCTGACAGCCCGGAACTGCCAGCTGCAGGGATCATCGTGCCTGTCATCTTCTCCCTCATCTTTCTTCTGGGCACTGTGGGGAACGGAGTGGTGCTGGCTGTGCTGCTGAGGAACGGCCAAGTGAAGTACAACACCACCAATCTCTTCATCCTCAACCTGGCCGTGGCTGACCTCTGTTTCATCATTTGCTGTGTCCCCTTCCAAGCCACCATTTACACCCTGGATGGGTGGCTCTTTGGGGCCTTTGCCTGCAAGGCTGTGCATTTCCTGATCTACCTCACCATGTATGCCAGCAGCTTCACCCTGGCTACAGTCTCCATTGACAGGCAAGTGTCCCCTGTACATTGAGTCCCTCAGCTCAGGGACAATGTGTTTGCCACCCTTGAGCTAAGAGGTAAGAAAAAGTCCAGTCTCCACCCTATTGGGTGCCCTGTAGGGAGCAGGTTGGGTCGTCCCAATGACAGCAGGGATGCCAGGACCAGCAGATTGATCTTTCCACTGTTACTCCTTACCTCCCATACATTCTCCCAACTCCCAGCCAAGCTCTTGGTCTTGTTACCTGTCCTTTCTCTTCCTTACTTGAGCAGAAGGGTTGTAGGCAGCCAGGGATGCCAAAGCCCCAGGAAAGCAATGCACCAGGGGACAAACAGGTAGCTCTTTGTGTCCTATTTCGACCCTCCTCCCTGACTCAAGATGCACGCTGCTTACCCTTCCTGAGCTAGCACAGCAATGTGGGCAGCAGAGATCCCAGATCCCATGTTGGGATGACCCCATTCTCACCATAATCCTCTTTCCCAAGAGGTGAGGAAGGGGAGAGATTGGTGGCTGTGTGGGAATGGGTGCACAGATGGCAGCTTCATGGGACAGGAGGGCAATGAGACCCAATCTCATCCACATCCTGTTTGGTCTCTCCTTCCCTTCCCCATCAGGTACCTGGCCATTCGCTATCCACTGAAGTCCCGGGATCTCCGCACTACCCAAAATGCAGGAGTGGCCATTGTAGTGATTTGGTTGCTATCACTACTCTTTGCAGGGCCTTACCTCAGTTACTACCAGATTGTCCATTACCATGGGGTGCCCATCTGCGTCCCTGTCTGGGAGGACCAACGCCGAAAGATTCTGGACATCCTTACGTTTGTAGTTGGATACCTCTTACCTGTGACTGTAGTGAGCCTGGCATACGCCAGGACCATCAAGTTCCTGTGGACCTCTGTAGACCCTATAGAGAGGATCTCAGAGTCCCGAAAGGCCAAGCGTAAGGTCACCAAGATGATCGTGGCTGTGGCCATCCTGTTCTGCCTCTGCTGGCTTCCGCATCATCTGGTTATCCTGTGCTTCTGGTTTGGCCACTTCCCTTTCAACCGAGCCACTTATGCCTGCCGCCTGGCATCCCACTGCCTTTCGTATGCTAATTCCTGCCTCAACCCTATCGTCTATGCGCTGGTTTCCAAGCATTTCCGAAAGCGTTTCAAGCAAGTCTTCACCTGCCTGTTCTTCCAGAACAAGAACAGGAAGAAGAGAACTGGAAATAAAGTTCATATGGTCGCTGTGGGCAAAGGTTTCACTAACAGCACTGGAGGCTTCTATGGAGGCAACACTGAACTGACTCAGGTCGCAAAGGAGAACAACAGGAAGAGGGACACTGAAGGCGCCAGGCATGCCAGAGCATGGACTCACCAGCTACAAGAAGTTCAGAAGGAGCTGCTGGAGGAGGAAATCTTGGTAACAGCTGGCCATCCCCTAGCCAAGAACCCTCCAAGAAGGCCTCAAGAGTGTCTGGCTGCTGATTGCAAATGAGCAAATGCATCTCGGAATGGCACAATCCACCACATCAATGCAGAGCACAGGGACGTGTTAATGTGATGACATTTCTCATGGTCTGGGGGCAGTCCAAGTCCACCTCCCCTTCTGTGGCTCCTGCATCCAGATCAAAGAGGGCCGTTGCACTTTACCGCGCTGAGTCTGCACCAACAGCTTGGTTGTACAACCTCTGCAGAACTCACTGGTCATACCTCCATGATACCACCATGCCACAGCACGTGAACAACTGAAAGGCTGTTGCACCCTCCCTGTGTACCCATGGCTTCTCTGCAGCTCAAAAGCGAAAGGACCATCAGTCTGGTCTCTTCCCCTGGCCCAGCCCTTCCAGAAAGTACTTAATGGAAGAGGTTTCCTTGCGCTCTGCCCTGCTTAGCCTTTGATCTTGCAAGCAGATACTGCAGGACACTGTCCACTTCCTTGTGCTGCTTGCAGTTCTGAAATATTTCTTGGCAGTTATCCTCAGTTCTTCCCAAGCAACCCTCACAAATCCTCCTCCTACCATGTTGTTCCATCTGATTAATCTCTGCTTTATTTCTGTTCGCCTTTTGGAAATTCCTGAAGGACCGCTGCCTCTTCTTTGCTCTTTATGTAGAGTTTCATCCCTTCCTTCAGGGGTTGTTGCTCTCTGAGCGGTGATGTAACTCGGCAGTATTAGCCCTGTTTGTGTGCTTTACCGACTTAGCAAGATATTATTTTCCATGAAATGAAAATCATGATTGCACTTGTGTGCACTTGGCTCAATCTTAAATCCTCTCTGTTCTTTTCTGTGTGGTGGGGAGAGCTTCCAGGAGGGGGCAATGCCACCACCACTCAAAGGGCTGGAACATCTTCCGCAGCATTCCTCACTGCAGGATTGCTGTGGGTCTGATGTGCTCCTGGGAGCACAGTTTCCCATTTGCTGTTCCTCGTTGCCCTCCTTGTCTCGAACAGCTGTAGAAGAGCCTTTGGTTGCAATAGCTGCTGAATGACCCCCTGAGTAGAGTGGAGTGTCTTTCCAAACCTGACCATGGGAAAAATGGGAATTGCTTTGGGGATGGGGGAGGGCAAGAAATAAGGTTCACAGAGGGTGCTGGAATTTCTCCCTTTCCTAACCTGAATAAAGCCCAGCAATTTCCTTCTCCTGATAAGTTTGATGTGTGCTGAATGCAAACTCTGCCAGTGTAGCATGGACTGCTGGAGGCTGTATGAGCTGGTGGGAGTCCTTCATGGGGACAAAAGGGATGGTGAGATGGTAGGGCAGAGGGACAAGGGGCAGAAGGGAGGACAAGCAGGCACACAGCATGCGTGTGCATGGAGATAACCCTCCCAGCAAAGCCCTATGCGAGGGGATATGAGGACCAAATGCTGCAGCAGACTCCAGGCTGTGGGAAATCTGCAGGGAGCACACTGCTCACTTCATAGCTAATTCATACAGAGGGAGTAATGCTGGGAGCCCCAGCTGGCAGAGAGAAGCCATTTACTGCCAACCCACTGCCAAGCACCTGCGCCAAATGCTGAATCACTGGAGGCAGTGCAGCTCAGTCAGCTCTGTCCTGAGCTGCACAGACACAGTGTCCTTGCTTGCCCCCGTGCACAGTGGGACCTTTGATAAGCAGGTGGAAGCTGCAGTATCAGGTGAAGAGCTTACAGCCCTGTCTTTGTCCTTTGACACTCTCAGAGCTATGGGCACAATATGGAAGGGATGAGGGGACATGCAACAGTGGGAACACGGCTTTGCAGAGCCCTGCTATGTACAAGCCATGCAGCAGATCTATAAGCTCTCCCTATTCTTCTTTCCTTGCCCTCCCCAACTTCTGCTTGCATGAATCTTCCCTTCTTGCTTGCTCTGCTTGTTTGTCAAATTCCAGGTGACGTGGCACTTCAGTGTGTGCTGACACTGTAGCACAGCTCAGCAGCAAGGACACCCCTTTCCCCATGCTACAGCCAACCTGGTTGCTGCACTGGGGATGTTTTTCTTTTCACACTCAAGCACTTGATGTTGTTTTCTGCACCTTGAACCTCCCACGTTTCTCCTTGTGCTGGAACACGTGCATTGTTTCTAGATCTGTGGTTGCATTTCACTGCCCAAAGTGTTGGAGAAAGAAGGGAACAGCAGTCGAGAACGGTGGTGCTCTGACCTTGTTCCCTTTTAAGGGTGAAACCTAAATAACACGGGACAAAAAGGATGGGGGAAACCTGGGGAGAAGGCATGTTTAGCACCTCTGCAAGATGCGGCTCCCATTCATTCATTCTGCCTGGATCCAAGAGCCTGCATTTTTGGGGAAGCACATGAGCAGGAGGCTCGATAGCCAAGAGGGAATTCCAGTCTGCCCGGTAACAATACACATGCTTCAACTGGTCCAACAGCTTAAAGGCAGAGGCAAAGAAAAGGTGTTATGTCCTTGATATAAAACTGTCACTAATTAAGGTCAAAGGAACCCAAATGCTCTTCTCACACAGTCTCCCCTCCAGACTGATTAGCAATCAGCAGTCTCTGCTCCCAGCCTTTCAACTTAATTAATGATTACGTGTCATCGCTCAGACTGATGAGCTCGACTTTAAACCTGCGGGGGCTGCCACACCTGGGATGTGCTGAGCGTGGGGCAGCAGGGACAGAAGCAGAGAGGGGAGAAGATCCAATGGAAGAAGGCAAATGATGGTTGAAGAGCCCCTGGATGAGCTATTTGCCCTGTCTCCTTTATCAGCTTCTTAATCAAAACGGCTGATTCTCTCACCTTGTCATCCCACTGCCTGGGGCTGCTCTCCCACGCTGCCTGGTTGTAGTGTACAAAGAAATCATCCTACTGCCTGTACCTTTCCGTGACGGAGAAGATGAAATCCATCTCACTCATTGAACGAGCGGAGGAAGCAGATGAAAGGCTGCAAGGTTTGCAGGGATGCTTCATGGGGCTTCCTTAGCAGCACAGAGGATAATTACTGTGATGGATTTGGAGTCTGCTAGAAAGGCGAAAGTGAAGGAAGTAATGGAGTTCAGATGTTGGCTTGATACCCTGGAGCTTAATTACCTCAACTGTTGAAGACTGAAAGGCAGCAGATTCTTGGTGTTTGTGCATGCCGCAGCACACTTTGCATTCACCGGCATGGGCAAGCAGCTGCTACAGAGAAAGACCCTTTGCTTAACAACATTCATGACACCTTATTGGGAGGTTTGTACACAGCTATTGCTTCTGCTTGAAAGAGCCAGATCCTGAGCCTGGCTGGTTTTGTCTGTGTCTTACAGCATGAGCTCTCTGTGCAGGGTTGAGGGACTGGTGAGATCACTGCTGGGCTGAGTGGCTGTGGGTACAGCGTGTCACTGCAGAGCCGTGCTGTGAATGAAGGGGGAAACAAAATGCATATGGAGGACAGGCAGTGGTGAGCAAGGCCTTGGGTCAAGTCCTGTCTGCCAGGGAACAGTGGCACGTGTGGCCCACCAAAACACGGTGCTTAGCAGTGTAAGGCAAGGGAAAAGGGGAGGTTGGGCAAAGTGTAATGTCAACACAGTGGAGGGAAGACAGTGGTGTTGTTTGCATTGTTACTGCAACAGACACCTCTGGAATAGACTGAAAGCAAGGGAAATATTCATTGCTGCCTGCTGCACCCCTGCCTTTCCACTCCAAGCATACAGTCAAGAGCAGTCATGGAAAAACTCCAGCACCAGGCAAACAAAGACTTGAAGAGCTGTGGACAGCAACGTCCTGAGCACTCAAGCTTAAAAGCTTAGCTCTGAATCTCAGCTAAGTGTGTTCCTGGTTGCAAGGAAAGCTTCCAAGCTGCATCTAGTTTGCAGACATCATCAGCAGCCAAGGCAACTGCAATGATAAGAGCACCCCAGCCGCTTGCTCTTTGGCACTTTAATGGTCTCCTCAGCAACAAGGCTGTTGACTGCCAAGTGTACGTGGATATGAAGCTTAGGCTGACGCAATGACAGAAAGACAGAACAGGACAGACTGAACACAGAAGTCACCAGCTCCTCACCCAAGGGACCACACTGTAAAGCCCCTGCCCAGATGTCAGGGGGCTGAGGTGCCAGGGAGGAACAGCTCTTCACAACGCGGCCACTTCTCTGGGCACAGGGCAAGGCACGAGTGCAACCACTTTATCCCCCCACCAGCTCCACACTTACACAGGAGCACAGACTGAGCAAGGCTGCTTTCCCTCTTCACAAAGCATGCCACCTCTCAGCTAGATGCAGTCCCCCCGAGATTCTCTTTCCCTCTGTTTGTACAGTATCACAGCAACTAACTAGATTTTAAGTTTGGATTTCTTGGCTGTGGGAGCCGAGATCAGAAGGTGAGTCAGCAGCTGATCTGCAAACAGGCTGGTGTTTGAATTCAAACAATTTTGTGTTGTCACTTCCAATTTCAGTGCCACAATTGGGAACAGCAGTTACTGAACCCAATGCTGTGCCCACGGCCTGAAACATCAGTAAAGGGGAATGAGCTGCTCTGAAAAGAGAGAACTGGACAGGGAATTCAAAAAAGGCTGACAGGATTTTATTGAAGTTTGAAATATGAAAAGGTCAGATTGTCTCCCACCCCCTCAGAATCCTTCCCATCCAGCACGTCATAACAAAGTACCAGCACTCACAGTGACAGCCCCAGCCAGCACAGCTTCCAGCACACCTAGAACAATGCGTATTCTGATAGCTCAGCTTTGAACACGGAGGCCCAGTGAGTCTTCTCCTGGCTAAGCAGCCAGACATTACAGAACACGTCTCTGAAGAACGTTGCAAACAGTGGCTGTTAATATGGTTTAGCTGAATCCTAAAGAGCTGACATGATTCCTAGCTGTGGGGTGCATATCACCACCAGCGTGCCATGCCGTTTAGGTGGGCATGCAGGTGGGAACTGCGGCACATTTTCTTGTCATCCTGCTCTCGCTCACGCCCCACCTCCAAGACTTCACAGATCCCTGCTTCAAAGCAAAACTACTGCGTCTCTGTTACCAACCAGAGAGCAGCAAGGGAGATTCCCCGCATCCTTCACAGCTGCATTACTCTGGGCTCCCAGCAGAAGTCGTTACTCATTCCTCAAGCTGAACTTCAGACCATGGAGCTGTGTGTCTCCACAAGCAAGAAACACACGATGGGTGTCAGCCAGTTTTGGGTTTGAAGCTGCTGCCGCAGCCACAAATCCACCTCCACCCCAACCCAACGATGTGGGGCACCTTCTGTTGCTACTGGACCCCTGGCCTGAAACAGCCAGTAGTGTGGATACAGAAAAGTCCCTTAGAATGACTTTGGTGGGTTTTTTTCCTTCAAATAAAATGTAAATGCATGCCTAAAACTGCAGTAGGATTAAGTCATTCCCTAACCCTCATTGTTGCATCAGGGTAGCTCTGACCTGATGCCTCCCTGGGTATTCTTCACAAGTGTTTCACTCTGAGATTTAAGCACTGTCTTTCAGCAGTGCTTCAAAAACCAGGCCCAGTGGAACCTGTTAGTCTGATTAAAAGCATTGTATGCCACCCCTAACTGGCCAGATGCTCTGCAGGCTCTAGGGAAGTTTAGGATTACGTCTTGGTGCATGCTTCTTAAGGCAATGTGTTTGCTCAGCTGCTACCACACAGAATTAGGGACATGTTATTCCTATAGTACAAAGCCTTCTGTTGTCCAAGATGCCCACTTCCCACCCCCCCCATGCAGTTTAATACTGCAGTGGTGGCAAAAGATGCCTGTTGCAAGCAGATAGATCTGTGATGCTGGCGATTTTCCATGGCATTAGCCACCACATGCACTGAACTGGAGTGCTAAGGAGAAGGCAGAATACCTCTGCTCTGGAAGGGGTACCCTATTCAGTGCCAGCCTATTTTTTTTCCCCCAAAAGTCTCAGCTGCAGCACTCTCTTGTCAAATCTTACTGCCTCCTCATGAGGCAACCATGCCAGCACCCTCAGGGCCTGCGATGTTTATTCAGAGATGCAGGCCTTCTTCTCTAAGCCTTCTCCTTCTGGATCACAGAGATGAGAGGACTTGGAAGCCTGTTACCTCTTCTCCATCTGCATCTGCAGGCTGAGCGATGTGAAGCTGGCCAGGAGGTCTGTAACCTCGTCCACCTGCCAGAAGAATACAGTTGGCCA